GCTCTGATATTCTAGCACAGAGACGGCCCGCTGCAGCCGCCCCAAGCAACAAAGGAGTGTGAAGCCCATAGTCGCAACAGTAGCTCAGACTTACCTGACTCTTACCAGTTTTCTGTCAGTTCCTTACTGGGGTTTCTCTTCAACCTCATGAAAGGAACAGACTGGTAACAGTCTCCAATTCAGAAAAGCAACTGTGTTTGCATAAGTTTAGAAAAAGCATAGGGTGTGTACAGAAATTGTTTTTTTTTTACCATTCAAAATACTTTATTGCTGTGACTTAACAGAAGTGCAGGGCTTTACAGCACTTTAAAAATGGATACATCATTTTACATTAACCCTTCTATTAGTACTTTAAATAACTTCTTTAAATTTCTGACCAGTGGAGACTGTGGACCGCCCCCTGCCTCCTAGCCTGGAAGGTGCAGGGAGGCTCAGAGACTGCCCCAAACACTGCAAATCTCTCATGTTTAAGAGTGCTGTAACTTCACAGTGCTATAAAAAGTGCCCTAAATTACAGCGCTGTAAAACATGCATGGAGCACTTCTGTACACACCCACATTTCTCTGGTCCCGATCCTGAGTTATCCATTTGGAGGAGTTCAAGATATGAACCATGAGCTACACTGGAACAAGGCAATGGTCAATATGGTCCCAAGTCCTGCTTTAAACAAGGCCCAGGTGCTCAGAAAATGGCTGCCTCTCAGCATCATGAGCCAGACGATTTCACTGATGCTTCTCCCCAGGTGCATGAGGACTGAAGCCCCTTGTGATGTCCATCAGTGCTCTATTCTAGTAAGAGGGTGCCTATGTGTCTACATGCTGGTGCATCTCAGTGGCTACGCTTCTGGCTTCTTGGCAATTTTCTGGAACCGTCGCAGGTAAATGATAACGAGGAAGGCCAGGACAACCTGGATGAGGATGAGGACAAAGAGGCAGAGCTGGAAGAGGAAGGCCAAGCTGCAATACCAGTACTGGCAGGTGGTGATGATCTCCTCCTCTGACAGGTACGCAATGATCCTGCCCTGCAGGTGAGCTGGGGACACGCATGTCACACTTCTATAGAGAGTCCGGTTCTGCTGCCACTGAAGCCACGAACGCAGGTAGAGGATGTCGCAGTCGCACTCCCACGGGTTTTGCCACAGGTGGACCATTTCAAGGCTCTTCAGGTTGTCAAAGAGCCCGTTGGGAATGAAGGAGAGCTTGTTGTCGTTCAGGAAGATAATACTAGTCGAGGGACTGAAGGAAGCAGGGAGGGATTCCTCAGTCAGATCCTGTGAGGTGCAGTCAATGATACTGGAGCTGCAACGGCACAGCTTGGGACAGGAGGACATGCCAAGGGGGAGAAAGCCAAGGAGGGAAAGGAAGAGAATCCAGTGGCTCATTTCCATCTCTGAAACACAAATACACACAGTCACCATGTGGACAGACTTCCACGAGACCTTGTGAGCAAACCTTAGCTGCTTGCCACAAGACAGCAGCAAGTGGGCAGGCAGGCACCTGAAAGCTTGTGACCAAACAGAACAAGCCATGGGGTTTTGTTTCCTCTGAGGACTCGTATTTAAGCTCGGGGGTGAATTTGATTCCCATGGAGATAAGGAACTGACACCACTGGGGAGGACAACATTTAAAGAGGTGCACTGAGCAAGTAGGTGCTCTCTCCTTTCCTTCCCCATGCCCCCCACCCCAAACAACACTAGGCAGGTAATTGTTTTGACCTTGGATCTGTGGAGGGACACTAGAAACTAGACTGAAATCATCTAGTTCTTTTGCATCTACTGCCACAGCTAATATAGGCCCGTCAGTCTTACCTCAATCCTAGGGAAACTCTTTGAGAAGATCATCAAGGAGCACATCTGTGATGAGCCGGCCTCAGAGATGATGCTCAAGGGCAACCAGCACAGTTTCATTAGGGGCAGGTCATGCCAGACCAACCTGACTGCCTTTTATGATCAGATCACAATAGCCTTGGATGCAGGTGTTGCCATGGACGTAGTCTTTCTGGACTTCAGCAAGGACTTTGACACTGTCTCCCACCCCATCCTCATTAAGAAATTGGGTGACTGTGGCACTGATGCATACACAGTCAGATGGACGGCAGATTGGCTGAAGGGTCGCACTCAGAGGGTGGTGGTGGACGGGTCATATTCGACCTGGGGGGAAGTGGGCAGCGGAGTCCCCCAGGGCTCGGTCCTTGGGCCCGCGCTGTTCAATCTCTTTATCAGCGATGTGGACGATGGGGTGAAAAGCAACCTGTTTAAATTCACTGATGATACCAAAATTTGGGTTGAGGTGAGCAAGCTAGTAGGGAGGGAAAGACTGCAGCAAGACCTGGATAGGTTACAGGGGTGGGCTAGCAAAAACAGGATGCACTTCAACCCTG